GTTTACTTTAATAAGAAAACTTTTTGTTTCAATTTATTTTATTTTAAAAATTTCTACTTACAACTGAAATAAATATTTAAAAAAACATATCAAAAAAATTTTGCATACACAATTTAACAAATTATTCAGTGTTAAGAACGTCGCAGACATAAATCAAATAAATCAAATAAATTCTGAACATAAGCATCGTCAATCGGTAATCATTTATCGTCAACAAAAATTACTTCTTTTTTTTTTTCTTTTGATCATCATAATTTGTTGCCATTAAAATTCATTGGTTGACATCTCTTCTATAATGAAGCCTAACAGCTTGATTTCAAAAAGCCTAATAATTATCATAATATTTCTTAAATCCTTTAACAACTACTCTTCACCACTGATATTATTGATGTTGAATCAACTATAAATAACTTTTATGATATCATACATACAGTTTTTTTTTGAGACTTTTTACGTTCCAATATTATGGATGTAATAAAAATCAGTTTTTACGTTTCATATCGTGCCAATGGCCCCTAAAAATGAATGGAAGGAAAATGTGTGAAAGACCAAAACAGCTATATTATTAATATTTTTTCAATTATGACATCGATATTTTTCCATATAAAATTACAGTAGGTGTTTTTGATAATGCAGTATGCTTTCGAATTTCGAACTTAGAAACTTAAATAACTTGGACAACAGAAAGACACAACTGAGAGAACTATAAATTTCACATACATATGTGAGTAAAAGAAAAAGCTTTTAGTTTTGAAAGTTCTAACATTTTCATATGTTTTTTAAAGTTTCAAAAATGAAATCACAAAACTAAATATTTCACTAGTGGCCCCTATAAAACACAGTCATATAGATACACCTATTATAATTTAGTAAGTTTGGTCATCATTATTTTCGTCAGACTTTTCAAATAATATTCGGAAATAATAAATAATATTGAAAAATTTCTTTATAGACAATGTCGGTTACGATACCATCGATCGTTTCTCCTTTTAGGGTATTATTTTTAATTTGGATTTTTAAAGAGCTAGAATTCATAGCTCTCGAACAACCAGTATAAAGTTTGCCGTGAGAGAAACAGGGATCTTCGAGGTAAATTCCTACTTTTTCAAAGGTTTGGCCCTGAGATTTATTTATCGTCAAAGCATACGCAAGGTTCAATGGAAACTGATGTCTAACAAAATTAAACGGGAGAGCGGGGTCGTTTGCTGTATCTAAAGATATTCGTGGAATAAAGTGAACCGATCCATTAATGATTTTCAATTGTATGACATTTTGACGAATTCCTAGAACAATCAACCGTGTTCCATTACACAATCCATTTTTTACAGATAAATTTCTCAATAACATTACAGTGCAACCTAATTTAATATTTAATTTAAATGGGGGCAATCCATAGGAGGATTTAAGCTATTCAAATATTCTACTGGAATATTTACTTGTAATAGCTCGCATATTCCGCTCTAGTTTAAAGGTTTGAAAGTATTGCCATAAAATAGACTTTTTAATTGTACTTTTGATAACTATGCCCCGAGAACCTTTTCGTACAAAGGGTACAACTTGACGAAAATCGCCACCTAAAATAACAACTTTTCCTCCAAAAGGAAGTTTGTTATCCATCAAATCTTGGAAAACCAAATCAACGATTTCAAGCGCCGTGCCAGGTGCCATGGGTGCCTCATCCCAGATAAGCAAATCTAAAGATTTTAAAATTTCTCTTTCAGATTGAGAAAGTCGAGGAAATTTAACTGTTGACAAATCTAAAGGTAAACTAAATGCTGAATGACACGTCATTCCTCCAGGTAAAAAAATCGCTGCTATTCTTGTCCATGCTACAATTAATGTTTTCTTATGAATTAGATTAAATTTTTCAATCAATGCGCGATATAAATATGTTTTGCCGCTACCGCCTGGACCATCAATATAAAAACATTTTTGAACATTTGAATTTTGGACGGATTTCATTATAGCATCTGCAGCTAAAAGTTGATCACTATTAAGATTATTCCATAAAATATCAGTTTTTTGTTTTTTTCCTTTGTTCACTCCTAGAAGGAGCATAGGGCTAGTGCATGATTTCTCATGCAATAGTTTCATAGCGTCATAGAGTTTAACTAGGTAGGTGACTAGCCTGCCGTAGTTTTATTTATATAAATTATTTGAGGTTATTAATATTTACTGTTAATTTTTCTTAGTTTTTTTAATATCGAATATTACGAATATTTTGAAAATTACTTGTATAATATTTATTAGTATTGCATATTAAGTTATAATAATATTGAATATAATTTTTATATTGACCTGACCGGGGTTTGAACCCGAGACCCTTCGGTTAAAGGAAAGGTGCCATAACCACTGCACCAATGGTCAGATATAAAATATCAGTAGTATTATCAAAAACTATATTATCTGGATTTTGATAATATAATGAATTGGAATTATTTGGTTGAACTGAAAAATCAAGTTCAGCAGGTATATTACCATCACCAACATCATCTGAATTTCGAGGAGCATTGTATGTTCTTTGATCATCATAGGTATTTCGAATAAAAATTAATGATATTTTGTTCATAGGTAAATTAACCGCTCTTCTCTCAGATAATTCTTTATCATAAACTGGCATAAGGAGACACTTCATTTATTGCTGTGTTAATGATAATCATATTTTCAGGACGGCATTGGGCGTTAGCAGAATTTAACATTCGTGCTTCAAGAGAAATATCTGTATCATAAACATACAATTCAGAATAAGATGGTGGCTGAGACATTTCTCTAACACAATTTGGTTGTAATGATGTATCAATTTCAATATTTTCTGAAGTTCTATGATAAACTTCACCTGATATCTTATAGCAATAAGGTCCATTGCCAGAAATTTGTTCAATTTTGGCTCCCATCGATGCAAATGCATTTGCATTATTATACTGTCTAATAAACTCCCTAAAATTTTTAGGCAATTCATCATTTCCGATAAATAAATTTTTCAATGAATCAGGAAAAGATATATATTGAGCCGAAATATGTGATAATTTATTATTATGGCAACACATACCTTTGCGCTCGTTTTTGAAATTAACAGCTTTGCAATAAACGCATTCATTTTTTAAAGATCCAAGATTATGAGTGCCCGAATTAGTAAGATTCTCTGATCCAATAATGCCAGATTTAAAATGAGATCTGACAGCAACACGACGGCGTTGTTGTGCATATTCACACGATTGTGTGAATAATGTGCTTGCTGCTGTTCCCTTCTATTTTCATGATCTTGTGGATAATGTGTTTGCTGCTGTTCCCTTATATTATCACGATTTTGTGAATAATGTGCTTGCCGTTGCTCTCTAATAATATCACGATCTTGTAAATAGCGGACCCGCTTCTGCTCTCTGATTCCTTCACGATTATTTTCATAGTATGTAGCATTAATATTTCTTTTATTATTATTATTATTATTATTATTATTATTATTATTATTATTATTATTATTATTATTATTATTATTATTATTATTATTAATATTATTAATATTTCTTCTCTCGGCCATCTCAACAACAAAATCTTTAATTAGAAATTTTAAAAAAAAACATCTAATCACTTAAATGATTTTAAAAGACTGAAAAATTTATTCCACTTTACATGATTTTTTAAAAAATTTGTTATTTTCATATTGAAAATATCAAAGCAGGCCTGACAAATTTTCATAAAATAAAATTTTCATAAAATTTTTATAAAATAATATTTTTGTTGTTGTTGTTTCTAATAGAAAAATATTTTTGTTGTTGTTTATAATGTCTGACGAAAATGATGATGAAACTTACTAAAATATAATATAGATTATTATTCCCAGTTCACTGAAAAATAAATTTAAATTTTTTATTAAAGTAATAACAAAGTTTAAAAGAAACTAATTCTAATAAATCCTGCTTTTATATAATCTAATTTTTTAACACCTTAGCATGCAGTTGTAGTTATAAAACAAACTGTAAAAATAGTACCACATCATCAGTACACTTTATTTAAGCAGTACTTTATTTTCAAAGATACTACACATTTAGTACTAAGTTAGAATTGAACCATCAAAAACACAGAAGGCGACTATAATTTTTGATAGTTAATTTTTTTTTGACGCCAAAAATAAATGATAGATTCAGATAGATAAAAGTGAGTGATAAAAACAATGATGATATTTCGGATTATTTTTATTTTATATCCTTTTTCAGGTTATTAAGACATTTAACAAACATTTACCTCGTTTGTATTGTAGCTTAAGTAAATGTTTTGAAATCATCTCCAAACGCATGCTGCGTTTTAACTTTTTCAGCTTGAAAATTAGGTTAAGCTATTATATTTCAAGTCATTTAAGCAAAATCTTTTGATTGACTTAAATGCAGCCGACTTCAAAATAATACACTACTTGTATCTCTAAAATGTTCTGTTTTACGCATTTTCTTATTTGCATTCATTAACTTTTTATTTGTTTCCTTATTTCGATAAATTATGGTTCAATGAATTATTATGAAATTCATTATTTTTTATTGGCGATACGGAAAGGGCAATGTGATTTTTTGAAAACATAAAATGCTGCTGACAATTTTAATCTGAATAAAATACGAAACATGTATACATCATGTTTTATGCTTAGTTGCTTTTTTCAAGCACCAAAATTTTGGACCGCATCTGGGATGTAAATTGAGGATCTAGGGTGGTGTTTATATGGACATAAAATAGGATTAATATCTCTATGATAAATATATGCACATTAATGTACAATTGATGTTGCCTTATAAACAGGGTAATTACCGTTAAGAACAAAAGTTAAAAATAGTTAAAAATTATAAATCATACATTTTTAGACTTAATCACAAATAAACAGAAGTTTAATCATTTTCGTGGTTATTATACATTATGTATTTATATATGTGTGCATCACAAGTGTATATACATATATATATAAATTTTAATATAGTAGGCACTTGTAAAATAAAATTAATACATTCTTCTATTAGGATAACAGAGTTCAAGATGCTCTTGGAGTTCCTATTAAAGGTTATGGTGAAGAAACTAAACGTCAAAGACGTAACCATGCTGCTCACAAAGTTTTTATGAGAAATGGAATTGAACATATGCGAATGCAATTTTACGTTCAGGGATCAAGACAAAAAGCAACAGTACACTTAGAAGTAAAGGAGGTAAGTAAACTAAAACAAAAATTAAAAAACAAGCCATACATTCTATTCTGTTAGTTGTCATAAAGAAGTAATTCATAAAGAAAAAAAAACTTTTTGATGGTATGATAAAATGTCTTTCTGTTATAAGAAAGTTTTTATAAACCTTATAAAACTTGAAAAAAAATTATAAAGTTTTAGGATGCAAACCGTCTTGTCTAATACTTTTTGAGAAAAAGAAAATGATGACGTCATTCTTTTCTTAATGTTTAAAGCTTTTTAAAGTTTTGTAAAATAAAATTTAATGTTTTAAAAACTTTTAAAAATTATAAAGCTGTCAAAACATATGTTTTTCCCTTTGAATGTACTGTTATGTTTGATAAATATTTTGAATTTTGATGTTAATTACGTTTTTATTTTTCCGTTTGGTTTATTAAACTTTACAAAATTTGTGAAAGATGCCATTTTAAAATTGAAATGATATTTACATTTTATTGTAATAAATATGTACGTTAATTGTGTACGCTACATCTATACACGAAAATATAGTGACTGTAAGTTTGATGAGAGATATTTGTTGTATTCCTTTAAACTTCCAATGGCATAAGTAATAACTCTGCTTGTTTTTTTCATTTTCAAAACTTAAAATATTTGTAATGAAAAAAAAATATTTAGTCTACCATTGGTATGTAAATTGGCACATTCATAATAATTACTTTAAGTATATGACTTCTATTAATGCAGCGAGTTTCGAAGCAAATGTTAAAGATATGAGAGAAGTTTCTTTAGATGTTTTTAGGAAAAAAACTGTTGATAATTTTCAGATAGATTTATGTTAGACAGAGTTTTTTATTTGTCCTCTTTGTTTATTACAATTCTAAAATTTAATGAAAACTTGTTTTTTTTATGATCATTTTTCTGACGTATTCTTTTTGTTTAATTTTTCAAGTAAAAAAATCTGAACATGATAAATTAAATGTAAATATTTGATATCACGCCATAATCATAACGACGTGGGTTTTATTTCTTAAATATTTTATATAAAATATATTTTTTTTTCTTTTAGATTTCAATGTTATTTCCCCGGTGGGTTGTAGAGTAGAAATACCCACAACGGGAGAGTAGAAATACCAAAGATGGTCTTTCAACGGATGGGTCTCTGATTCAAACCGCGGACAGATTACCATAAATATAAAGTAACAAATTAGTACACAAATAATATTCATATATTCATAATATTCGGCATTAAGAACTAAGAAAAATAAACAATAAATATTAATAACTTTAAATATTTACTATAAGGAAAAATAAAGCTACACCTCGGCTAGTCACCTACCTCGTTAAAACTGGGAAATGATTATCTATGATATCATAGATATGATAGCATAGGACTTGTTCTCGGGGAGAAGAAAAAAAAAAATAGACAATTAACTAAAGCTATTAATTAAGCCAAATTGGAATGGCAATCTTTTGAAAATAAATTTTCGAGACCAATGAAAGTAATTGCCAAAAATCTACATCCATCATGTGATCCACAGGATATTAAGTGTGAACTTATCCAAATGAGACTCAAATGCGTAGATGTCATAAATAAAATTTAAAAAATAAAAGAAAATGACGAGGATACTATTAAAAAGTTGCCTCTTTTTATGTTGTCCTTCGATTATATCTAAGACATAAATAAAATATATAAAATAGATTATATATAGCACATATAGAATATCCCGCAATGTAAGAGATGTCAGAGATTCGAACATACCTAAATATTTTGCCAAAGAGGAGCTAAATTTGCTAAATGTTTAAGGAAAACTGTCCGCGAATTAGAATGCTGCTATCGTAATATTGAAAGTCCGACTTATTAGTTTGCTTATGTCAACAGATTCCGAATCTTTTTGACTTTTGATATTTAAGGCATTTTATCAAATGTTTAAAATTTGGGATATAGCTTTAATTTGACTTTCGATCACTTTGTTGTCATGTTACTCTTGGTGAGGAAGTAGCTGACATACGGAACGGACCTATCTAAGTCAACAGAACCACAGATTGGGTAGGCTTCATGCAATTATTAGAAATATACATTCTCTAATACTTTGTGTATTAGAGAATGTATATTTTCAACTAACAAGTTCGCTAGGCAATAAAGTCGTTTAAATTGAATAGGGCTCCAGATTTTAAGCTCATTACTGCTGAAATAATAAGAGAACTACCGAGAAGGGCATCGACATTTTTAAAAAAAGTGATAAATGCAGCAGTTAATCTAAGGTATGTTCCTAGTCCTTGGAAAGTAGCGGAAGTCATGATGATAAGATAATCGGAAACCCTTAAATATTCCAAAGTCATAAGTTGTTAACAAGGCTAATGCTGATAATAGAGAATATGGAATTAATTTAAAACCATCAGTTTGATTTTAGAGCGAAGCATGCAACAATTGACTAACTACACAGAATGAAAAATGCTGTGAAAAAGGCGTCAGAAGAAATATGTTCGAAGATGGGCGTCTACCAAAATTACAAAATTTTTACGCAGAATGTGCAATCTACTTTTTGTTAAACATTTTGGTAAACAATACGGAAAAAAAGTGGTCTGGAAATATTCCAAAAAAATATAGGATTCAAAATTTAGGAACGATTTCAAATTTTTTTTAAAAGGAATCTAAAAAAAATATTTAGATTCCTAATTTTTGCACTCACTAACATATGTTCCTAAAATGAAAGTGAACTCGCATAACGGTTTTGAGTACTATTACTTTAGCATTATTTCTTTTTCGCTGTAGGACGGGTTTCCATTATTTTTGGGACATCTTTCACTCTGCTTGTCGTTTTATAACAATTTTTTTTTGGAATCTGTTACAATTTTTTGTTGCAACAAAGTCCATTATTTTCCGCACTCAATTCTAAAGACTTGGGGATAATGTACCAAAAACACATGTTTTTTATTGGTTACAAATCCAAAAATTGTTTTGGATATAATACTATGTCAATTTGTTGTGAATAATAATTTTTTTGGACAAAATGCTTTTTATTTTAGAAAGTAAAATTAATACCATTTGTCTCATTTTCTTATTTTTTCTCCTTTTTTTTTTAATCACATTTCAAACATATTTTGAAACTCGCTACTTAAACTTTAGGGGCAGGTACTAATTGTAGCTTTTTTCTTTAAATAGTAAAAAGTAAATGAGTGACGCGATTAGTATGAGAATCAAACCCAAAATTAAACATTTTATAAATTGTCAATTTTTTTGATTATTTCTTACTATACCCTATTTTTGTAAATTGGGCTCTTTTTATACCCGAACGAACGTATGTTCGAAGGGTATACTAAATTTGCTTTACCGTTTGTAACGCTAAGAAATAACGATGTTAGATATAGACTCAAGTGTATGTTTTTGATCAGCGTCAAATTCTGAGTTGATTTAGCTTTGTCTGTCCGTCCGTCCGTCCGTCCGTCCGAACGATAACTCAAAAACTAATTGAACTAAGTTCACCAAATTTTCACAAATGATTTATCGTAGTAAGTGCCAGAACCCTATTTAAATTGGACATGATCGGGGTACCGGTTCGGGTAGCTGCCATACAACTTCAAAATTTATTTGGCTATATCTCAGAAACTATAAAAGTTATGGTATTGAAATTTCACACAAACAAATATATTAGTGGGGCCAATGTGTCACATAAAAGTCGTTGAAATTACTTGGCTCCTTCTGGTACCTGCCATACAACTTTAAAAGTTATTTGGCTATATCTCAGAAACTATAAAAGCTTTGATATTGAGATTTCACACAAGTGAATATATTAGTAGGGCCGATGTGTCTCGTAAAAATCGTTGAAATTACTTGGCTCCTTCTGGTACCTGCCATACAACTTCAAAAGTTATTTGACTATATTTGAGAAACTATTAAAGCTATGGTATTGAAATTTCACACAAACGAATATATTAGTAGGGCCAATGTGTCTCATAAAAGTCGTTGAAATTACTTGGCTCCTTCTGGTACCTGCCATACAACTTCAAAAGTTATTTGACTATATCTCAGAAACTATAAAAGCTGTGATATTGAGATTTCACACAAGTGAATATATTAGTAGGGAAGATGTGCTTGATAAAATTCGCTAAAATTTCTTGGCTCTTTTTGGTAGCTGCCATACAACATCAATAGTAGTTTGGCACAACCAGTATTTTGAATAACACATAGTACTGAAATTTTGCATAAATTAATATGGTAATACGGCAACTTAAAGTCATAGCCTGCGCCATAGTTAGTTATGGCACATTAGTTATTCGCACATAGGATAACAAATTCGTACGGGTATCACAGAGTTGACAAGGTCAACTCTATTTTTTTTCTCGTTTAGTTTAGTAATTAACGATGTAAAGTTTATGTATCCACTTAAAAAGTGAAATTTATTTACCTATAATGCCTTAAAAGGAATAACCTGTAATGTCTGAGCGAATTAACGTCAATTTAATTTATAAAATATAAACCAGCAATATAAATAAAATGAACTTCTAAGTTATTTTATTCTTTTTTACAAAATTTTGCAAAATTTACTAGCTTTTATTCCTTGAATTTTCGTATTCTTAACCAAAAATATGGGTATTCTTTCCCACAATATTGGCAAAACAACGGCGACGCTTTAAAAAAAGAAATAAGAAAACGTACCGAAGATTTCCAAACTCCTCGTAGAAGTTTCTTGCCTTTTGTCATAGGTTGCGTAGGTGGATGTAAGTGCTCCAAACAAAGACACCAGTTATTTCAATAGAAAAAAATTTCACTCAGTTCTTCTGCAAATAAAAAATATTTCTTTACGTTAGTTATAATATGAAACTAGTCCTAGCAAGTACTATTCCTGTAGTTTTGAAATTGTGTTCCATTCTGTGCGTGAGATAATTATGCGTAATTAAGCAAATAATTAGTTGCTTTGACATCTAATATCTTTTGTTTAATTTATTTCAGAACCTTGCTTTGAGTTATGTCGCATAAAATTGTAAAATACCTTTGACAATAAGCACTTTAAGCGATCAATTACTGCTTACGCAAAAAATAATTCGCTACTAAAATTCATGCACATATGTATTTGGATTTACAGGCGAATAAAACGCGTGAATGTGTAATCAGTTAACACTAAAACTAACTACCATAATGCGTATGGCAAAACGATTTCTATGCAAAAAGTCTCAGGTTCGAACCCTGTAAAATGCGATTTGTTGGTTTTGATTGAAAAAAAATTTGTCAGATAAACTTTTTTTTTAAGGATAATTTTATTTTTTTTTTGTTTTTATTTAAAATGAAATTAAAAAAGCTTTACCCTTACAAATCAATGTCAGTGAGTTTCCGTTCTAAATATTTTTTTGAAAATACCCTATTTGTAAGAAGTTTAATGCAATAGAATAACATTTTCTTATAAAATTTTATCCTAAAAATATATTGTCAAGAAATTTAATGCACACTGATTTTTTGCTTACTAATACATTTTGCAGCAGATCGCGAAAAGAATGCATAACTAAAAGCGTGCGTACATATTTATTATAAAACAATGTAGATTTAATTAAATCTTTACAATTTTCTTAAGAAAGTGTTCACTTTTTGTTATAACTCACACTTCGAAATATGAATTTACAACAATATTTATACTACCAAAATTAATAAAAAATTTACCACTACAGGATGTAGGACCATTTTGTAATAAGCGGTCACAAAGCATCTTGGGAGGTGGGTGGAACTCTTGCTTTTTCTGGGATCCTATAGGCAAAGCCCTATCTAATGCCTTTTGTCCTATGTCTCTAGCCCTTCTAGAAGTACCCGTACTTTTTGACACCTGAGAAGTAGCTATATATATATATATAATATAAAATTTTTAGGGTACATATGAGAGCTTCTTAAAATTAAACTAGGAGAAAAATTAAGAGAAAGAACTTTTGTATTTTGAGACTCAACATATCCCCTAGAAAAGTATCTCATCGTTCCATACCGTGAAAATAAATTTTTAACTGAAGATCAAAAGAAATTTAATTTTATTCATAGCTCTGCTTGATGATGCATAGACCAAGCTTTTGGCAAGTTAAAAGGAATGTTTAGAATATTAAAGTATATAAATATTAATAATATCAGGTACATAAAATGTACTGTAATTTCATGTATAGCTCTTCACAATTTTATATTACAAAATGGAAAGGATAGTAGTTTTGATCAAGCATACTGGAAAGTGAAGACGGCAAAATTATACGTGATAGATTTAATATGTTATTTTCTTCTTGAACTTCCTAACTAAAATAATAAAATATTTGAAAAATACTTTAAATAAAATAAAACATTATTTTTTTAATTTTTTTTTAATTTTTCAGGTAAATACACTACACTCAATTATTATCAAAGTACCAAAATACGAAAAACAAAATGGCACATTCACAGTCTATTAAAATTTTTAAAATTGATTTTTAAATTGAAAATTTGAATCAAGCTTCTAATTGTTAGAATAGTTGACATTATATTTTGAACCATATCTTTAATTGCTTCTAATATTATTATATTATTATAGATTATACCTTGACGTTACAAAAAATCAAGGCCTGGACTCTGCTTTTTTGTGAATGTATTTGTAAAATTACATATATGTATTTTCCACACCCTCGAAGATAGAAAATTGAAATTTAATACGTAACATACATAGATCTTTAAAAAAATAGTTGAAAAAAATAAGTTACAAGTTTTTTCTAGATATATTGGAATGTAAAACCATTTTATAATTTTAGTTTTTCTAAAAAAATTGGTTTTAGCCTGATTTTTGAAACGACATTATATGAGGCTTATGTTTAAGGGTTGTAAATATCTAATTATAAGATTTGAATTATAAATCATTATTTGAATATAAATAATATTGTTTTCAGTCACAAAAAAGAAACTAATAGAAATAAAAAACACTATTTTACAATTATAAATTTAAATAGTGAAATATAGTTACAATTTTTTTTTAACTATATTACGCTATTATTTTTGTTATTCATAATAACTGCAAGCAAACAAAATGTATGTAGTTATTGAATAAAATAACAAAAAAAGATATATCAATATTTTCGCGGCATCATTGTCTCCTTTTCTTAGATAAGATTAGACTAGATTACTAAAAAGAGACATGGGCAACGGAACTCTTAGTCTCCGACTACCGCAGCTAACTATGGTTTATTGCAGCCCTCAAATTTCCCACTTAAACTACCCCGGTTTCATGTAAATACTCGCCGGTATCCTTCAGTAAGTTGGACGAAAACTCCTAAATACTGAGAAAAACCTGCCTATCACCATCTGTATGTCACACAGCACAACAGTCACTCAGAATCTGTATCTCGCAGAATCTACACAAAACGAAGTCCGATTTACCCAGTTTGTGCAAAAGATGTTTCTCCGGATAAAGCCCAGAGAAGAAACCAGTAATAGCACAAAGGCGATTTCGGTCTATCTGGCTCTGGGGAGAACTTCCTTGAGTAAGATGGAATGATCTTCATTTTTTTCTTCATTAATTCTAAAATCCTACCAGAATTCGTCTTCTGCACCTTCGAAATCTTCATCTTCCGACTCAATGGGCAAAAGGATTTTCAGAATCTTTATTTCATTTAATAACTCCACTTTTCCTATTTTTCGATTAGAATTAATTTCAAGTAATGTAAGTAAAGTAAGAAACAATAAGTCCATATTGATCATAAGCCTCATATGAGGTCGAACATTGGGTTAGGTTTAGTTAGGTTGCACGGTTCCCCGAAGGGTACACCTAGGCCATCAAAGCCCATTTTTAATACCGCTGGATGCTCCCTCTCTCCCTCATTAGAAACAGCCCGAGTTCCTCAGAAACCGGCCAAGATCCCTAATATTTACATTCGCTAGGTCCGCAGCCCGCCCAAAAAAGTGGGACCCAAGAAAGTTCCCCTGGAGTTCGCCAACGCCGCACACGAGCTCAGCAGATGGATCACCGTTTCCTCCTCCTCCTCGCCTCAGCAGCTTCAACAGAGATCGTTTGCGGGGCGGCTCATCCTCCTGGCATGATCGCCAATCCGGCAGAGATATCAGATCCCCTGTAGGACGCAAATCCAAATAGTTCCATTCGCCATGTCTCGCAAGCTCATCCGCCTTGCAATTCCTTGAGATTCCACTGTGGCCGGGAACTCAAACCAAGTTTAGCTCGAACTGCCTCGCCATCTCGTTAAGAGAAGACCTACATTCTAGGACCGTTCTGGACGTAGAGGTGTCCGACTCCAGCGCTCTTATTGCGCGATGGCTGTCTGTGAAGATACTAGCACTCTCCACGGACACCACATGCTCGCCAAGCCAGCGCAGAGCCTCCCCAGTTGCGACCATCTCTGCCTGAAAGACACTGCAATGGTCCGGCAGGCGGAAAGAGAGCTCAACTCCCAATTGCTCGAAGTAAACAGCCCCACCCACCTTTCCATCAAGCTTGGATCCATCCGTGTAGAAATGGACGGAGCCATCCCTGACCGCGTCCCTCCAGCTTTGCCTCGGCAGGACCGATCCTCCGAAATTCCTCACAAATGAAAGCGCGGGAGGAACAAAATCAATTGACCCCACCTCGTGCCCTCAGTCCGCAAGAATCGAAGCATGACCTGTGATGCCACACGACCACTGTGATGCAGCCCCCGGGCGCACTGCAGACCCCGCAGTCATCTGCTTACCCAGTATATCCAATGGCGGCAGATGCAAGAGAGTCTCAGGAGCCTGTGTAGGAGTGGAGCGCAGAGCCCCACCAACACACACCATTTCCATCCTCTGAACTCTGTTGATTAATTTCAGGTTTAAGGAAGTACGGAGCGCCGGCCACCACACCAGAACTCCGTACATCGGACCGGTCTCACCACCGCGGTGTACAACCAATAAACAATGCTTCAGGCCCCTCCTCTTCCCGATGGCCCTCTTGCACGAATAAAGCGCAATAGTTGCTTTCCTTACTCTCTCCATGATGTTAAGTCTCGAGTTCAGCTTTGAATCCAGAACCAGCCCCAGAAATCTTGCTTTCCTGTTGAAGGATAGGCCGATTTTGCCAAGTTTAGGAGGAGTTACGCCCGGAATCTTATATCTCCTACTGGAAATGACTAGCTCCGTCTTTTGAGGGTTAATAGAAAGCCCACAGCCGGTCTTCCAGTTCGAAACAGTTGGTTCTCAATTGAGTTGAAAAAATTGAGAAATAAAAAGAATAAGGCGTGGAGAAAATATGTTAAGACTCAGAGCTCTGAATCTTATTCTTCTTTCATAAATTTATTTTATTCGTTTAAACGTATGTGTGAAGTGAGTTATATTAATTATTTGTCAGATTGCTCTTTGGAATTAAAGCAAAATCCTAAATCTTTCTGGAAGTTTGTTAATTCTAAAAGGAAATCTGATCAATTTCCAAACTTTATGACTTATTGTAATCAAACTACAAATGATCCTCAAATAATTTCAGATTTATTTGAAAAATTTTTCTCCAGCGCTTATTCGAATAATATTTTTAACATAAATCCGCAAAATTTTGACTACTTTCCCAACTATATTGGTCGACCTCTCCCTGAAATAGAGCTATCGTCAACTAAAGTTTGTTCTTATTTGGAAGCCTTAAACAATGATTGCTTTCCGGGCACTGATAATATTCCTGAGATTGTTTTAAAACAATGTTCTCGTGTCTTATCAGAGCCAATTTCAACTTTATTTAATAGATCTATTTCTGAAGGTACTTTTCCGAGTTGGTGGAAAACCTCTTTCATACGACCGGTGCATAAAAAGGGAGAAAAAAAGAACATTGAAAATTACCGTCCGATAGCTAAGCTTTCTAGCATCCCTAAAGTATTTGAATTAATGGTTTATGACGTAATCTACAATTATTGCTCAGAATTGGTAGTGCCAAATCAACATGGGTTTTTAAAAATGAAATCTACAGTTACTAATCTTGTTGAATGTAGTTCTAAATTTTTAAATACGATGGAGGCTGGATCCCAGACGGATGTAATTTATACTGATCTGAGCAAGGCTTTTGATTTTTGATGTAGTACTTTTTAAGCTAGAAAAGTATGGTTTTCCTCCTTTTTTCATTAAATGGATTGGTTCTTATTTGTGTAGTAAGAAATATGGAGTTATTTTTCGTTCATGTACCTCCAATTACGTTGTTGAAAATTCGGGTGTACCTCAGGGTAGCCATTTGGGGCCTCTTCTTTTCATTATTAGTATTAATGATGTAACGCGCGTAATAAAACACAGTGATTTAAGTATTTATGCTGATGATATGAAAATTTACAGAAGAATAGACTCCGCTACTGATACCTTGCTCGTACAGCGGGACCTGGATTCTTTTGCTAATTGGTGCAACTTTAACAATCTTTCCCTTAACGTCTCTAAGTGCTCCGTAGTTAGTTACACTCGTCGTTCCGTAACTATAACTTCCAACTATGTCTTGAATAAAGCTAATCTTAACAGGGTTAGTTCTATTAAAGATTTGGGGGTTGTATTTGACGCAAAGTTGACGTTTAGACACCACTATAACGCCGTGATTAGTAAAGCTAATTCAGTCTTAGGTTTTGTTAAGCGTTATACAAAGGAGTTTAATGATCCCTACGTTATAAAAACTTTGTTTGTGGCTTTGGTACGACCACATCTTGAATATGCAAGTCAGATTGGTCTCCTTCTTACCAGGACCACATCAATAGATTGGAGGCAGTTCAAAAAAACTTTTTAAGGTATGCTCTTCGTAATTTTCATTGGGAAAACCCTATTATTCTCCCACCATACGGAGATCGCTTATTATAACTTCAAATGAAGACACTTGAAAGTAGAAGAATTGTTGCTGATATTTTGTTTATTGTGCAAGTGTTTATGAGCCGCATAAACTTTACATATGCTAAAAATGTCATAGAAGCTCAATTAAATAGTGTCACTCGTTTTCGTAATAACAAAATTTTTAATCTTCCTTTCCACTGCACAAATTATGGGAAGAATGAACCTATTTCTCGAATGTTGCTGTTAATAAATACATTTCTCGTGAGGAGTTATCGCTAACGAAGACTCAACTTAAGAATACCCTCTTTGCAAAATTACAATAGTTGTACACTTTATGAGGTCACTAACTTTTAATTATTATCATACATAATACTAATTGTACGTGAAAAATAAATTTAATAATTTTCTGACCTACATTAATTAACAACTAACTTTTGCTGACTTTGCAATCTTTTGTTGTAAAT